CAACGCGGTCGGCGTCGTCGTCCTGACCGGCGGGCGATCCGTCATGGGCCGCATCGCCAACATCACCGCCGGCGTCAAGCAGAAGCCCACCCTGATCCAGCGCGAGATCACGCGCTTCGTCACCATCATCGTCATCCTCACCGTCTGCTTGGCCTCCCTCATCCTGTTCACCTGGGTCGGTTGGCTCCGCGTCGACCACTACGGCTTCATGAACGTCGTGCAGATGCTGAACGATGTCATGGGCTGCGTCGTCGCCTTCATCCCCGAGGGCATGCCCATCGGCGTCGCCCTCACGCTGATGATGGTCGCCCGCCGCATGAAAGCCGCCAACATCCTGCCCAAGGGCCTCGCGACCGTCGAGACCCTGGGCTGTGTCAATGTGCTCTGCTCCGACAAGACGGGCACGCTGACGCAGAACAAGATGATTGTCAAATCAGTCGGCCTCCTGGACCGGGAATACGCCATCGACGAGATCACGGCGCTGCACCAGCAGGCCGACATTCCCGAATCCCTGGCCAGTCTCCACCGCGGCTCGCTGCTCTGCAACGACGCCTTCTTCGATCCCGCATCCCTCAGCAAGCCCATCCCCGATCGTGAGGTGCATGGCAATGCCACCGACGCGGCCGTCCTGCGATTCGCGGAATCCATCCAGCCGGCGGGCAATCTCGCCTCGCAGTACGAACGCGTCTTCCAGATACCCTTCAACTCCAAGAACAAATGGATGTTGACCATGCACAAGCTTCCGTCGGCGGATTCGAGCTCGGGCTATCTCGTTTACGTGAAGGGTGCCCCCGATGTGCTCCTCCCCCGGTGTACGGCCTACTGGTCCGGTCAGAGCCACGAAGTCAAGGCGCTGGACGACTCGGCCAAGCAGCTCTTTTCCGCGTTCCAGGAGAAGCTGTCCAAGCGGGCGGAGCGCGTCATTGTCCTGTGTCAGCGGTCATACGTCCCGCGCAACGCCCTGGGGTCGAACGACTTCAAGGACGAGATCGAAAACGAATGCACGCAGGATCTGACCATCATCGGCATCTACGGTATCATCGATCCCCCGCGGCCAGAGACCGCCCAGACGGTGGCCTCATGCCGCCGCGCGGGGATCCGGTTCTTCATGGTCACGGGTGACTTTGGTCTCACGGCCGCCGCGATTGCGCGGGAGGTCGGCATCTTCACGGGCACGGCGGATCCCGACACGGTGTCGGACCTGCCGAGCGCGTCCGACAGCGAAGGAAACGAAAAACCCGACCGGTCGCGACGGTCGCTGCTGGTCGAAGGCCCCCAGATTTCGTCGCTTCGGGAGAGCGACTGGGACGCCATCTGCCGGTACGAGGAGATTGTGTTCGCGCGGACGACGCCCGAGCAGAAGCTGCGCATCGTGGAGGAGTTCCGGGCGCGCGACCACGTCGTGGCGGTGACGGGCGACGGCGTCAACGACGCGCCGGCGCTGCGCAAGGCGGACGTGGGCGTGGCCGTCGTGTCGGGCAGCGACGTGGCCATCGAGGCAGCGGATCTGGTGCTGCTGGACAAGTTCGACTCGATCGTGCAGGCGATCCGGCTGGGCCGGCTGGTGTTCCAGAACCTGCAGAAGGTGATTGCATATCTGCTGCCGGCGGGCAGCTGGTCGGAGATCTGGCCGGTGGTGATGAACGTGTTCTTCGGCGTGCCGCTGCCGCTGAGCTCGTTTCTGATGATCATCATCTGCGTGTTCACGGACCTGTTCCTGTCGCTGTCGCTGATCATGGAGAAGGAGGAGTTTGACCTGCTGGACCTGCCGCCGCGGAACCACAAGCGCGACCACTTGATCAACTTCAAGATCTACGCGCAGTCGTACCTGTTCATCGGGGTGATGGAGACGCTGTGCGCGCACTGCATGTTTTTCCTGTACATGTACCGGGCGGCGGGCATCCCGTTCCACGCGCTGGTGTTTGCCTTTGAGAAGTACTCGGACGGGTTCTACGGGTACACGCAGGCCGAGCTGACCAACTTCAACAACGTGGGGCAGTGCGTGTACTTTGTGACGCTGGTGATGCTGCAGTGGGGCAACATCCTGTCGGTGCGCAACAAGCGCATGTCGATTCTGCAGGCAGACCCGGTGCGGCGGAAGCGGCGCAACCCGTGGCTGGCGCTGGCGATGCTGGTGTCGCTGGTGATTGCCATCTTCGTGACGGAGGTGCCGGGGCTGCAGTATCTGTTCAACACGGCGCGGGTGCCGATCGAGTATTGGTTCATACCGCTGGGGCTGGCGCTGGGCATATTGATGATGGACGAGGTGCGCAAGTTGGTGGTGCGGCTGTTTCCCAAGAGTCTGATTGCGCGGATAGCGTGGTAGCCGGCAGAGTTGCAATGTTATATATGATGCATATACGATAGACTATGTTCTAGCTGCAATTGATGATTCAAAATGAACCACTCCTGGCAGTGATCCACCGGAAAGATAACTGATAAAACGCCAGCACGAATTATATTATCCTCTGATATGACGACATTGATGAGTTTCTGCAAAGTTATTTAATTTTTTTTTTTAATCCGTTCGTAATTCCTTTTTTTTTTTCTTCCTTTCCTTCCTTTCCTTTTCGTTTCCCCCCCCCCCCCT